AGGAGCAATTCAGAAGAAGCTGGAATCCCAGAGGCGACACTGCCCAAAGCAGAAAGATAGGGGTGGCTGGGGTGGGGGTGGGGGGAACAGATTCTCCACTCTATCCAGTTCTGGGTCTAACTGGAACCTAGTTGGCAAAGGAAGCCTGGAAGATGTCATTTGCAGCTATCATTCCCCTGCTGTTCAGGGCAGAGCAGAAGAAGGAGCTTCAGAACAAATAAGCCAATTCCTGCCACATCACACCACCAGTACATCACAGGGGACTTCAGGAGCACCTGTAGGGATACCACATTCCCCCTGAAAGCAATGTTGTCCCTGATTCACTGCAAGAATTCGTAACTAATCCAGTTTCCAATATTTGACATCATATAGATGAGCTTATTTTGTCCATCCAAGAAAACACTGTCACTGCAAATTAATTTAGGAAGAATATGAAACTTTTTTCATACATTAGATGTCTTGCAAACTTTTCCAGAAGATTTTGACCTACTTTGAAGGCAAATCTGGCATTATATCAAAAAAGAGGGAAACATTTTTAAGCGAATTACTTATGAAGAACTAGTAAATCCACCCCTTTTTTACTTTCAAAATATGAAATATATGAAAGTAGAAATATTTATCAAAACAGGAAGTCAAGCTAGGCAGGGCTAAGATTCTTATACTGATTACAGATTAACAAAATGTGAGCCTGAATTATTCATAATTTTTGAAACTAGAGGTATACCATAGCTACCAGCCATTGGTAAAAATGTATTGTCTGGGACCGGCACTGTGGCATAGCAGGTAAAGCCACCACCTGCAGTGCCGGCATCCCATATGGGTGCCGGTTTGAGTCCCAGCTGCTCTACTTCCAATCCAGCTCTCTGCTATGGCCTGGGAAAGCAGTGGAAGATGGCCCAAGGGATTGGGCCCCTGCACCCATGTGGGAGACCGGGAGGAAACTCCTGGCTCTTGGATTCTGTTTGGCCCGGCTCCTGGCCAGTTCCTGCCATCGGGGCCTTTTGGAGAGTGATGGAAGACATTTTTTCTCTGTCTGTAACTCTACCTCTAAAATAAACAAACTCTAAAAAAAAAAAAAAAAAAAAAAAAAAAAAAAGAATAACCAGGAAAAAAAAAAAACATTATCTTGTTAGGAGTACAAATTACTAAATATTCCAAGGCCCTAAAAATGTAGTTGTTGACAGCAAGAGGTGAGATAGCTAGGGAATTTGACATTTATGTTTAAGACAATTTCAACCATCATATGAATTCTTCTATTCAGTTTGGAGCATTATGGTGTATGAAATACATTTCATTTTTAAATACATCGTCATTGTACGTGTTAAGAATGAAGGGTTCTGTGACCCTGAAAAAGTGAAGGCTACCTAAGAATGAAGCATTTCTTCATTCTTTAGTCTTGAGTACTTTTGTCTTCAAAATTGTTCTTAGTTCCCATTTTTGTTTTTAAATTATTGTACAAATCGGGGAAACAAACTCAGATTCTTAGCCACAGCATTCTCAGCAGCCTTGATATGCCTGAAAACACAAATACTTCCTGTGTTTGCAATCTTGTTGCAATAATGCTAACCTTTCAAATGAAACTTTGTAACAACATCAGTCTGTTCTCTCTCACACCAATGATGGTTCCTGCCATGTTAGTTGCTGCATCAGGGCTAGTGGCTTCTTTAACACAAAACAAAAACAACTTCGCAGGCACAGAGCAGAAAACACGTAAACACGGTCAAAGTTCAAAAAATTGTGGCCCAGTTTTGCAACGTCAAGTGGCAAAGAACCACACGGATCTGTGATCCCAAGGTCGAAAGATGAAGCCATCGTCTTTTATGATCACAACCACAAAGACTCGAAAATGCTACGCCCGTTAAGGAAACGTGCGCAAGGCAGGACTCGCTTTCGCTGCGGCTCTCGCGGGGCGAACGTGCAGCGCCCAGCTTCCAGGCGGTGCTCACACCCAGCGCGCCCGCGGCCGCCCCCAGCGCCCCGGCTCCGCGCGCCCAGCGCGGCCCCGAGAGCAAGCTAAGATGGCAGCGCCGAAGCTCCGGGAGCCGCGCTCGGAGGGGCTGCAGCAAGCCAAGCCGCGTCCTGGACATATTCTTTCATTTGGCACAGTTCTTTGCAGACCCAGAGCTCCCCTCTCCCGCCCCCAGCACGCCGGCCGTCCGGGCAGTCGAGAGCTGGGCTTGCAGCAGTTGCGGTAGGCGACGTTTGCTTTGCCTATCGCAAAAATCCGACGTCTCTGGTCCGCAGCGACCGCGCAGGTGCCCCTCGTGACTTGCCTTGGGGACTACCCCGCTTCACGACCCCCTGACAGCGGGGTTCAGTGTGACACCACACGCCCTTTCGATCCCGGCGTGCGCCACTTTCCCGGCCATCCCCAATATCCAGCGGCCACGGGTGTAGCGGTGGCGGTGGCAGGGGCTGGGGAACGCACAGTGTGGAGGCAGGAAGAGGAGGTTGGGGAGGCGGAGAAAAAAAAAAATGCTGCAATGGCTATCAATTTAGAGTGGAGAGACCGCTGCCGCTGCCGTGGAAGGAAACGCTGCCAACCGCAACACAAACGCCACCCTCCGCTACCTAAGTGAGCATGTGTGTGACTCTGCGCACGCCTAGTTGCGCCGTTGGACTTCTCAGGAAATTGTCCAGTTCCCGGGTTTTGTGTGTACCCGGGAGGCTCAGGAAGGGGCCCATCTAGGAGTAAAGAGTACAGTAAGGACTGAAATTAAAGAAGGAGTGGGAGGCACCCTGACACCAGAGCCACCGCTCCTTCTGGGAAGTGTACATGCTCTAAACGGGGCAATGACCGCATGTCACCAACCAAGCCTGCGCTGGGAATGTTTCTCTGTGCACGCCATGTGCACACATTCTTTTCCTCCTGCCTGGGAATAGCTCTTGTGCTAGGAGCTGGGAATGCAGTGGGTGAAGATACAGACAACAGTCTCACCACCATCAAGCACAGTCGTGTGTTTTGCTCAGTGTGTGTTACCACTTGGGAAAAGCTATGTACTAAGGCAGACATCCTAGATGCTCCCTACAATCTCCTGTGGTAGGAATTATCCTGACCACTATTCTGAGAAGGAAACTTACTCACAGATATAAAAGTATGAAGTAGCAGAGGCAGAATCCAGACTGAGGATGTCTGACTTCAAAGCCCTACAGCTATCCTGCTGGGTCTTGCAGCAGTAATGCACCCTTAAACCATCCACCTGTTGGGCCTTTAATATCACTCTTAGAATTTAGCTGCCTCCAGTGTCTTGGCTCTCACCAGGGGAAGAGGACGTTCCTGCTCAACACTGAGGTGTGTACCAGCTGAAGCACCAGCCCAGACACTGAGCCTAGCAAATAATTATTGGATATATGATGTGTAAAGTGCTAGATTAGGAACTGAGGGAGACACAAAAATGAATGAGAATCACTGAAGGAACTCGTAAGAGTTGAGACAGCAAAGCAAGTGTCAAACTGATTGAACAGGGCTAGCACAATGCTAAAATACTGTGATTCCACATGTCTGCCCTTAGTTCCCATGTTTTCATTTTCACATTCTTAGCTAAAAAAACAAAATCCAGGGGCCACATTGTACTGCAGCTGATGAGATGCTGTGTGGAACACCTGGCATCCCATATAAGCACCAAGTCCCCACTGTTTCACTTCTAATTCAGCTCCCTGCGAATGTGCCTGGGAGAACATCGGAAGATGGCCCAGGTGCCTGGGCCCCTGACACCCATGTGGAAGATGCAGTTGGGGTTCCTGGCTCTTGGTTTAGGCCTGGCTATTGTGACCATTTGGGGAGTGAACCAGTGGATGGAAAGTCTCTCTCTCTCTTTGTATGTGTGTGTTTCTCCTCTTTGTAACTCTGCCTTTCAAATAAAAAATAAATAAATCTTTTAAAAATAAAAAATAAAAAGCTCTAAGTGTTAGCCATCTATTATTTAAACAATAGCTAAACAATACTACTGCCAGCACCCTTCCTCTGCAAAGCAAGAATTAATTAACTTCTGCACCCACTGTATTTATTAAACAATAAGCAGGACTTTTTGTCATTTTTAAAGAGAAGACATTCAAAGAACAGGCACAGAGATGAGAACTAGTGCGTAATTGAATAGTTGAAGGATGTAGTACTGGGCTTATAAGACTTAGAAATGACTGTAAATTAGGGTTTGGAGTCAAAAGGATAAAACTTAACAGGAATCAGGGTGCACTGGTGCATTTATTTCCAGAGCATGCAATGAGGTTAGCAGATTAGCTCGGAACAGAGGATTCAGCCCATGTCACTTTTTAGACATAACAAAGGTGCGATCTTTGGTAGATCTGACATAATCAGATGTTATACAATCTTAGTCACAATCATAGTTTCAGGTTATATTTAAGACATCTTTAATAACAGGAGTCTTGGCCGAAAAAGATAAGCTGTTAAGGGACCACCGTCAAGAGAACATAGTGTACCCTTAGTGTGCCTGAGGAGTCAACACAACACACAAGAAAACATTCTTGCATCAAGATTCAGCTGTGATGTCCTGCGCATGAATGACTGATTTGTGAATACTAGCCTACCGACTAATTCTGTTTTTTTTTTTCTTTCCTAAAAAGATTTATTTATTTGAAAGAATTACAGAGAAAAAGGAGAAGAGAAAGAGGAGGAGAGACAGAAAGACCTTCCACTCGCTGGTTCACTCCCCATATGGCCGCAATGGCGAGAAGCCAGGAGCTTCTTCCGGGTCTCACCTGGTGCAGAGGCCCAAGCACTTGGGCCGTCCTCTGGTACTTTCCCAGGCGCATTAGCGGGGAGCTGGATCAGAAATGGAGCAGCCAGGACTCGAACCTGCGTCCCTATGGAGTGCAGGCGCTGCAGGCCGTCCCCAATTCTGAATCAACCAGTCCTGCTCACAATAAACCTTGGCGCTGGCAGCACAGAGCTGGGGGGCAGGTGGCAGTGCTGCGCGCTCCGGCGCGGGGCTCCAGGCCTCTCTCTCAGGTTCTAAGTCTCCCACCTGGAGGGAACCCATTACCTGAAACGCCGGTAGCAGGCAGCCTTGCCCAACACTGTCCTCACTCTTCCTCAAGCTGCTAGGAAATCCCGGAGAAGTGGATTTCTTTCACAAACCGCACCACCCAGTCGCCCCACACCCAAAGCCCTGGGGGCGGAGGGAGTGGTGGCTGAGGAGGGTGGGGGGGAGGCCGAGTTACTGAGCATGTGCGAAGCGTGGCGCATGCTCAGTGCGGCCGGCAGCTTCCCACTGCGGGTAGCCCCGGCGGTGGCAGCGGTGGTGGCGGCGGCAGCGGCGGCACCGCCTCCTCCTCACACTCCCCGGGTGGCGGGGTTAGATGAGCGGCCCCAGTAGCGGCGAGGGCGGCGCGGGGGGGAGGAGGAGGAGAAGGAGAAGGAGGAGAAGGTCGCTGTCTTTGTAGTCTCCCCGCTGTGGGAGCCAGAGGCCGCCACCGGAGCCGACGTCGTTGGAAAAGGGCTGTGTGTGTGCGCGCGCGTGTCTGCCCGCCCGGCCCGCGGGGACGAGGCGGCGGCGGCGGCGAAGATGATGATGTGCGCAGCGACTGCTTCCCCCGCCGCCGCCTCCTCGGGGCCCGGAGGGGACGGATTCTTCGCAGCCGCCACCTTCTCTTCCTCCCCGGCACCGGGAGCGCTGTTCATGCCGGTTCCCGATGGCTCCGTGGCTGCCGCGGGGCTGGGGCTGGGGCTGCCCGCCGCGGACACCCGGGGTCAGTACCAGCTGCTGCTGTCAGGTCGCGCCCTGGCCGACCGCTACCGGAGGATTTACACCGCCGCGCTCAGTGACAGGGACCAGGGGGGCAGCAGCTCCGGACACCCGGCCTCCAGGTGAGTCTCCAAGGGTGCCGTCCTTGCGCCGCGCGCCTCGTGTGCGCCTGTATGTGTGTGTGTGTGTGTGTGTGTGTGTGTGTGTTCACGTCTGCGTTTCTCGAGCTTTCATTGATGCGAGGCCCCAGAAACGTTTCCCAGGATCTCGGGAGGGTGCGGTGGCTGCAGTTTCTGCTCTCGAGTGTGTGTCTGCCCATGTGGGGGGTTATTGAGGGCGGCAGTCGCGTGTGATGCTGGACACGATGATTGTGCTGGGTCGGTCCTGACACGTGTGTGTATTGTTGAGGAAGGAGGAGGCATGGTCGAGGACACTAGGGTAATACCCGAAGAGAAGTGGTGAAGGAAGTGGCGTTCGCAGTGTCTCTGCCGCAATGTTATTTGCACGCCGCACCCCCCCCCCGCATGCCATTGCTCCCTCCCTTTTCTAGCCAGACCTCCGCCCCCCCTTTAAAGATATCTGCCATTCATTAAGGAGGACACTGATATAGATGAAGAAGAACGTCTTTTTTACAGAGTGAATTCGTGATAATCAGGCAGGAGGCTAGGCACGAGGTTTCCTTTTCAAAGATTTATGAATAAGAGATGCAAATAGAGATTTCTGTGGGTGTGAAGGGAGCCTGACGGAGGGTTTTAGATCTGCTCTCTGGGCCTTTGGGTCTTCTGGAAATGTGGTCGCAGCTGCTCCTGTGTTCTGCTGTCCCATCGGCCATTTCTCTTCATCTTCTGTTCTGTTTCCTCTATTACTTGCAGGCTTCAGAGGGCAGGGGATTTTGTAGGGAAACAGGGAACACCGGAGAACTTCAAAATATGACGGCTGGTGTAGTGTTCAGCTGCCACCGGCTCGAAATTTTGAGAAGCTCCTGGATCTCTTCCATTTGGGCTGGCTGCACCTTCAGTTTCCTTGATGTGGATGTTAAATCACTTTCGTTTTCTTTTTCTCAAAACGTGGGTGCCTTTTTTGCTGAGGGCTCTGCTATTGTTTTCTTCTCCTTGCCTTAACATGCCACAGACCCTGAGGGATGGTGACTGACTTGCTTCACCAGCTTTGATGGTGGTTCTGGGGAGTTGGCTTCAGCCCTTCTCACGGAGCTTCTTGCACTGCGTGAGGAGAGCATAGTAGAATTTTGTCGAATGAGTTGAAGGGTTTACTGTGTTTATTGAATGTGCAGGTTATTAGGCAGTAACCAGGTGTCCTGTTCTTCTGTTATGCAAGGGGCTAGGCTGTAAATCGGATATTCGTAGTCTGTCACTATGTCTTGTGACTTATTCACTGAGGAGAGTTGTAAAGATGGAGGTTTGTTCACACTTTTTCTGGGTAAACCAGTCTTGGCAGTTCTGTGATTGTCTACTGGATTAGGCATGTGAGTGGCTCTGTCATATGGACAGAAACGTATATAAACAACGCCCTTTGCTCTTTAACATGAAGGCCCTGTGGCACAAGTTTGTTTCATGCTAGTGTTTTTGAAAATAGCACAGAACCACATTATACAGCTTTTTCCTGATAATTGGGTGTGATTTTGAGCTATGAGTCTCTGAATTATGGCTCTGTAGCTGTATTTGTGCAGGCCTCCTCAGGGACTTTAAATTTCTTTTGTGTGTGGTTCCCAGACTTATGCAATAATTTGTGACTACTTATTCCTTTTTTAACTTTCAACTACTATACTTGTATAATAATACGATTTTATATCTGTAGAACTGTATTCACACTTTTAAGCAGAACTAATGTACATTAATCATATACCCAAAACTTATGAATGATTTTAGTCTTTGGTCCATTTTGTACAAACTGTCAATGACAACGTATAAAGAAGTAGTTCAAGTTTTTCCAGAAATACCCAAGGAAACCAGCCTTATGTTGCATGATTTTGCTTGCTGCTGCTTGTTCATAACATTGTTTATTACAGTTCATTTTGTTTTCTAATATTTAGCCTGCAGATCCTCATTTTTGAGGATTTGATTAAGAGTGCAGTCACGTATCTTGTTAAAAATGATGGGGAAAGTACATCTGGGATTTACGATGTGAATGTTTAAGGGTGCTGGTGGACAACATTAGAGAAGTTGAGATCATTCAGACAGAATGGAGCAAGAATAGAGAATGAAACTGGTGAGCATCATGTTTTAAAAATGTGAGAGAAAAGCAACAATGAAGGAAAATGAAACAAGAGGTCAGAAAATTAAGAAGAGAAGAAAGTGAGAAGAGTTTTCAGGTCACTGAGAACTTCTGAGGAAGTGGTCATAGAAGAGGAATGTGATGAAGAGTGAATGGAAAGGGGTTAGGGTCACTTGGGGGGCTTCAGATTTGAAGAAAGAGTATCAATTATGGGACGGTAGGTGGGTTACACATATGTGGGAGTGTAATTACAAACCAAGAGAGTAAAGGAGTGAGGAGGCGGTGTTTGGTAGGGAAAAGTCAAAGGACAGGTGGAGACATTAGCCACTGAGAAAAGTTAGGGGCTGGTTTTCCTTTAATATAAAGAAAATGAGATAAGTGTTTGTAAATATAAAGACTGTTGGTTTACTGACCGAGGAACTGTGTACTATTCATTTTGGTAATCCTAATGTCTAGCATGATTTTTGACATTCATTCTGTAATTGTCAGGTGCCTGCTATGTGTCAGGCACTGTTGCAGGTGCTGACAATACGGCAGTGAGCAAGACAGACAAAGTTTTTGCTGTTTTGGAACTTTCACTCTAGTGGGAGAAATAGGCAATTGATAGTTTTATTTTATTCTTCCTCTTATTATTTTTAAAAAATATTTATTTGTTTATTTGAAAGTTGAGCTACAGAGAAAGAGGTCGAGATCTTCTATCCACTGTTTTACTCCCCAGATGGCCACAATGGCCAGGGCTGAGCCAGGCCAAAGCAGAAGCCAAGAGCTTCAGCTGGGTCTGGATTCAGGGGCCTGTACCCTTGGGCCATTTTCTGCTGCTTTTTTCAGGCCATTAACAGGGAGCTGTAATTGAAGTAGAGCAGCCAGGACACTAACCCCATATGGGATGCTGGTGTTGCAGGCAACAGCTTTACCTGCCATGCCATGATTCCGGCCCCTATTATTATTTTTCTAAAAGTTATTTATTTAGAGAGAGAGAGAATCATTCCCATCCACTGATTCATTCCCCAAGTGCTCACAATGGCTGGATGGCTGGAACTGGACCAGGGTGAAACAAGCAGCAGGAAACTCATTCCAAGTCTCCCACATGAGTGGCAGGAACTCAGATCACTTGGGGCAGCAGTGCTGGCCTCTGAGAGTCTGCATTAGCTGGAAGCTGGAGTAAGATCCAGAGATAGAACTGGGTATTAAATCCAGGTACTGCAAGATGGGATGCAGATGTGTTAACTACTAGGCTGAGTGCTTGTCCTTGCAACTGATAATTTTTGTTAATGATAAAAAGCTCTGAAGGAAATAAAACTGATTTCATATGCTAGAGTGACGTATAGTGGGGCTGTTTTATTTTAGTTATTGTTGTCAGGAAAGGTCTCTTTGGGAGTTGGCATTTAAGTTGAAACAATGAGGAGGAGAGTGATTTGTGGGAAGAATGTTTTGGGAATTGTGAAGGTCCTGTGTTGGGAACAAACTTCTTGTATTCAAGGAATAAAACCGTGGCAAGTGAATTCCAGTCAATGTTGAATGGATTAAATACTGTAGATTATGCTGTAGGTGTAGGGTTGAGAAACAATTCAATCCTAGTGGAATCAGTGACTTTGTCACTGAACAAAGTGGCTAAGAGCTTAGACTCGGAATCTAGACTAGTTTTAAATACTGGCTCTGTCATGTGTTAGCTGTGTGACCTTGAGGACATTATGTAACTTCTATGCCTCAGTTTTTTAATATGTAGAGGGGGGATAATAATAATGTGGATTGTTTTGTAAAGTAAATGAAGCAATATATGTAAGATTCTTCACACAGTATATTATTATTATTTTTGGCTGAAAGAGAAGGCTTTGGGGACTTGAATAAAGTGCAAGAATCATGTGTATGTCTTTTTCTTGGTCTCAGTGACTGTTCAGTGTGAGCGTAACTTTAATTCAGTAACTGCATAGAGAATGCAGTTTTTGAATGAATGAGAGTCATCAAAATTGGAACATTCTCGTGAGACAAGGAGTTGGACAGGAAATGAATAAGGAATATTTGAAAAGTTCTGAATCTGAATGACAGTCTAATCTTGCACTTGGTAGCAGTGGCAGAGGCAGACTGTCTTTTTCCATCTGTGTTAAATTGAGCAAGTTAATGGGTTTTCTTTGTTTCTTTACTGGTAATCATACATGGTTACTGGATGGACATTGTGTCTGCACATGGTAAAAGCCCATTAAATGTTTTCTGTTGTCATTCTTAAAATCACATTGAAAATTTTCATCAGAGTGGCATTATAAATTT